ATAACTGTGCCTTTTGGGGCATAGCTCTGAGTTGCTTTTTAGAATTACTAGACCAATTCAGATCTCCACCAAAAGCACATTAATGTGCCTCTTGACCAATAGTTAGTCTCTTCAACATTTGTCATTTCCCCTATTTCTGGGTCATATTTGCAAACTTGATAGGTATAAGATGGAACTTTAGAATTGCTTTAGTTTTGTTTAATTCTATGTGAGTTGGGACTTTAAAAAATGTCGCTATTGATAGCTTTTTTTTTTTTGAGAATTGCTTGCTCATATCCGTTGAGTATTGATTTATTTGAAGAGGGAAAAGAGGGAAGAGTCATGTATAAAGTGCCTACTCTGTGCCAGGCACTGAACTAAGCACGTTACAAATATTATCTCATCTGATTCTCACATCACTGTGAGGTAGATGTTGCTGTTATCCCCATTTTATCACTGAGAAAACTGAGGCAAACAGAGGTGAAGGGACTTGTCCAGGGTCACAGAACGAGTAAGTATCTGAAGCGAAATATGAATTTAGGTTATTTTGACTCCAGGCCCAGTTCACCACCTACCTGCCTTGCCCCTAAAGTATCACTACCATTTATATAGAAACGTAGCAGATGCCTTGTTTTTTCTTGTTGACATTTAGTTTATAATTATAATGGCCATCAGCTTTGTAGGACGTATTACCTTAGATTGCACCTTGAACTTGTGTGCTTTTTAGAATATTATATTTGTTTTAGTTTACTGATTTCTTGTGGCTGAAGAGTCCTACTGAGCTATTTAAAACAATGTTCCTTCATAAATGAAAGACTTTCTCCTAGTAACTTTAAACTTTTCTCATTTGGTATTGGACTTGTGAAATTTTAGCACTACATGATAAAGGGTTGCAAGCATGGGGTTTTCCTGTGGAATTATTCTTTGGATTTAATCAAATACAGTTATCATCTATATTCAAAAGTTATGGTCAATTTCTTGTACTATTCCTGTAGGACAGTTTTACCATGTTCTCTTGGAAGACCTATCTATAACATATCTATTGCAATAGCCTTCTAACTGGTTTCTCTGCCTCAAGTCTCTGCAGACTCAATTCACCTTCCACAAAGCTGTCAAAGTGATTTTTAGTAAATCATCTATTTGACCATGTCACCCCTCCCCCTACTTAGTAAACTCCAATGGCTCCCTATTAACCTCTAAGATCAAATAGAAACTCTTCTGTTTGGTTTTTAAAGCCCTCCACATCCTCACCCTTTCCTATCCTTCCAATCTTCTCACACATAGTTTCCCTCACACACTGAATGGTCTAGTTAGACTGCTCTATGTGCTGTTCTTCACATGCACTGTGCTATCTGCTATCTCCATGCCTTTGCAAATGTGACCCAGAAATAGGGAAAATGACAAATGTTGAAGAGACTAACTATTGGTCAAGAGGCACATTAATGTGCTTTTGGTGGAGATCTGAATTGGTCTAGTGATTCTAAAAAGCAACTTAGAACTATGCCCTTAAAGGCACAGTTATAGCAAGAGAGAAAAAAAATCTTCCCTAACTTAATGTCAGTTCCAGGTAGATAGCCAATTGTACTGGCAAAATGGTATGGCTAGGCTTAGAATTTCATCCAGAGGGGAAAATTCTCCATTCAAGGGGAAATGTTACACTAAGGAAATCAGGTCAGGAGTGTCCTACCTCAACCCATTCTAAAAGTCACTCTATCTATCTATCCCAGATATTTTCAACAACCTCCTTAGTTCCATCTCCCAGAATTCCTGCTTTCAAGACTTAGCTCAAGTGCTATATTTTGTAGAAAGCCTTTCCTGATTCCAATGGGCTATTCCGCTGGACTAATGCCACTTACTTTTAAGTTGCATTCTTTTTACTCTGTACATAACTTATATACCAGATTTTTTTTTATATATATATATATATATATGTATATACATATATATATATACATATATATGTATATATATATACATATATATACATATATATATATATATACTATATATATACTATATATATACATACACTATATATGTAAATTATAAAAACTACTTTATAGTTTATATATTAAATAGATTAAATTTATATATATATATATATATATATATATATATATAAAGTTAGAAAAATTGTATTTCACTTTGGAGCAATTGTGGAGTGTCTTACTATGTTTTTTAAGTTTGCAAAGTATTTTATTTATTAAAATTTTATGTATTTGGAATAGAATAAGCATTTCCATAATATAATAAAAAAGATGATTACACATGAAACTGCAAATCTATTATGTATAACTTGCTATTTCTTTTAAATGTATAGCAATCATGTAAATTTTTTATATACATACATATATAAAGTGTATGTGTAAAATCATTCTATACATACTTGTATCAGTTCTTTTTCTGGATGTAGATAGTGTCTTCCTTAATATGCCCTTTATAGTTAATTTGGGTATTTATAATAGTCAAAAACACTTCTTTGTTCAAAGTTGTTCTTAAAACTATTGAATGGGAGACAAGAATTAATATTCACCATAATTTATGCTTTAGAGTTGGGATTTAGCGCAACCCATGATTTCATTGATGATGGAGCCTATGTGGAAAGACTTTCTATTGATGCAGATAGGCATCTATTCTGTAATTTACAATTGCCCAGGGAACTGCGAAGTTAAGTGAGTGGCCCGTGTTCACATAGCTAGAATTTGTATACCTGTATATTCAAAACTTTTACTGGATACCTGTATTTGGATACCTGTATGCCATGCGGGAAGAGGATTACTCCAGGATGAATTTTTCATGCCCTTTCTCTCAGGCAGGGAAGACCATGAGTCATCTCGTATGACTAGTTACATGTTATTGTCTTCCACTCCCTCTTCAATTTTCCTACTTTTGCTTCCTATGGTTGGGCAGAATCAATACCCTTGGAGTAGTGTTGGTATAAAACAGAGAAGATACAGACCACATTATTTGATAACCAAATGTTTATTGTCAATTACATTGAAATTCAATTTTCAGAATTTACCAAAAGTCGTATAGTAATGAAGAATCAATAATCTTGAGTTTGTTAACAGTCAATTAGAAGAGCTATACAATAATGACATACATTTCCCCTTCACTTCTCCATATGGATAACATTCTCCTAAGTGGAAAGTCTGGTGAAAGGATGAGGTAGTCTATAGTCAGAGGTTCAGGAATTATTCTCTGTATTTCTTTCTAGGCTGAAATAATTTCAGAATGAGTATCCTTTGATATTGTTAGAGCTCATATTTCTGCTCCTTGGATCAAAATGGGAGACATTCCTATGTTCCAACCACTATTATTTTATCCACTTCTGAGGGAGAAGGACATGGTGCCAGTTCCTCTTCAAGGTTGTTGATTTCCCTACAAAAGATGCTCTAAGGAATCAGGGTTTGGTGACCATTGTGAACTTAAAAGAGTTGAAGCCGCACCCCTGCTTCCACAGTTAACCTCAATTTTCCTACAGCATGGCACAGATCTGGAAGATGGTGCTAGAAGTACAAATTTAGTTTTAAGGACGGGAAATTTAGTGAACTATCATTTAGCTCATGGAGCATTATTGATTAACTTTGCTATAAAGTTACAACCATAAAGAAGTACCCTAAACTGATTTCCCAAATGAGGAAAAAACCCCATAGATATTGTCAACCATCCAAGACATTTCTAAAGTCATTTCCCAATTAATTAGAAAAAGTATTGAGGTCCTTTAATTTATTACCCACACAAAGTCCTAATCAAGGGATCCATAAGCTGCATTGCAAAATGGCAGAGCAAAGAGAAACCAAGAGAATAGAGAAAGAAAAGAATAAAATTCTATGTTGAAGAGAAGAATGATAAAAAAGATGGCTCTGATTGGAGAAGGCTATATAATGATAAAGATAAAAGGTATAGCTTGTGATGTTGAATTCATTTCTTGCCTCTTTCATCAGTCTTAAGGAGGCATTAAATAAAAAAAAATGACCTTCAAAGCTGATGGATATAAGAAATGTTAAAAAAATGCAGTGAAGATAAAGAAAGAAAATGAAGGTCACAATCATAACTGGATTGATACATTAAAAAACTTAAAGCTGAAAAGGGTTTATTACTACAAAGGCTGGATACATAGAAGAGAAAGAATATGAATCCTTAAGAATTAAAATGTTGATACTCTAACAAAAATTCCTGGTTATTATTGAGAGAAGATGGACAGAAGAATATTTTAATGCAGATTCAGATACATAAGTAGAGCCTTAGCCAGAATTTGAGTAGGGGCGAGAGTCAGAGTCAGAACCAGAGCTGAGTCACATCAGTGAGAGCTAGAGGATTGGGAGAATTGGAATAATACCATTTTTCTACAAAACTACTTGACCTCCCACCAGAAATAGATGCATGTCATTTAGTGCTAGATGACTGAGCTGATGCAGACTAATCTTGGCCAGAGCTAGAAGACTTTCTGGAGCCAGAGCCAAAACTACAAGTAGAGCTTTTGCTGGAACCAGAGCCATATTCTGAGCCAGACTCTGAGCTTGAGTTGAATCCTGAGCCTGAGCCTGAACCTGAACCTGAACCTGAGCAGGAGCCAGAGCCAGAGGCAGAGTCATATCGACCAGAGCTGGAGGAATGCCTGGAAGTGGAACTATGCCCTTGTCTTCCACCACTTCTTGATCTGCCACGTGAACCAGATACATGTCCCTTGCTGCTAGATGATTGACCTGATCCAGCGCCATATTGGCCAGAGCCAGATGAGTGCCTGGAGCCAGAGCTGGAGCCACAGTGGCCAGAGCTGGAAGACTGCTGGGAACTGGAACCGTGTCCTTGTCTACCATGACTGCCTGACCTGGATCGATGTCCCTGGCTGCTAGATGACTGACCTGATCCAGAGCCATATTGGCCAGATGTAGATGACTTCCTGGAGCCAGAGCCAGAGCCAGAGGCAGAGCCAGAGCCTTTGCTGGAGCCAGGGCCATATTCAGAGCCAGACTCTGAGCTTGAGTTGAATCCTGAGCCTGAGCCTGAACCTGAACCTAAACCTGAGGAGGAGCAAGAGCCAGAGCCAGAGCTAGAGCCAGAGCCAGAGCCATATCGGCCAGAGCTGGAGGAATGCCTGGAAGTGGAACTATGCCCTTGTGTTCCACTACTGCTTGATCTGCCACGTGAACCAGATACGTGTCCCTTGCTGCGAGATGACTGACCTGATCTAGAGCCATATTGGCCAGAGCCAGATGAGTGCCTGGAGCCGGAGCTGGAACCATAGTGGCCAGAGCTGGGAGACTGCTGGGAACTGGAACTGTGTCCTTGTCTACCACGACTGCCTGACCTGGATCGATGTCCCTGGCTGCTAGATGACTGACCTGATCCAGAGACATATTGGCCAGATGTAGATGACTTGCTGGAGCCAGAGCCAGAGCCAGAGCCTTTGCTGGAGCCAGGGCCATATTCTGAGCCAGACTCTGAACTTGAGGTGAATCCTGAGCCTGAGCCTGAGCCTGAACCTGAACCTGAGCAGGAGCCAGAGCCAGAGGCAGAGCCATATCGGCCAGAGCTGGAGGAATGTCTGGAAGTGGAACTATGCCCTTGTGTTCCACTACTGCTTGATCTGCCACGTGAACCAGATACATGTCCCTTGCTGCGAGATGACTGACTTGATCCAGAGCCATATTGGCCAGAGCCAGATGAGTGCCTGGAGCCGGAGCTGGAGCCATAGTGGCCAGAGCTGGAAGACTGCTGGGAACTGGAACTGTGTCCTTGTCTGCCATGACCGCCTGACCTTCCACCTGAAGTAGATCGATGTCTGTGGGTCCTAGATGACTGACCTGATCCAGACCCATATTGGCCAGAGCCAGATGAGTGCCTGGAGCCGGAGCTGGAGCCATAGTGGCCAGAGCTGGAAGACTGCTGGGAACTGGAACTGTGTCCTTGTCTACCATGACTGCCTGACCTGGATCGATGTCCCTGGCTGCTAGATGACTGACCTGATCCAGAGCCATATTGGCCAGATGTAGATGACTTGCTGGAGCCAGAGCCAGAGCCAGAGCCTTTGCTGGAGCCAGGGCCATATTCTGAGCCAGACTCTGAGCTTGAGGTGAATCCTGAGCCTGAGCCTGAGCCTGAACCTGAACCTGAGCAGGAGCCAGAGCCAGAGGCAGAGCCATATCGGCCAGAGCTGGAGGAATGTCTGGAAGTGGAACTATGCCCTTGTGTTCCACTACTGCTTGATCTGCCACGTGAACCAGATACATGTCCCTTGCTGCGAGATGACTGACCTGATCCAGAGCCATATTGGCCAGATGTAGATGACTTGCTGGAGCCAGAGTGAGTGCCAGAGCCAGAGCCAGAGCCAGAGCCAGAGCCTTTGCTGGAGCCAGAGCCATATTCTGAGCCAGACTCTGAGCTTGAGTTGAATCCTGAGCCTGAGCCTGAACCTGAACCTGAACCTGAACCTAAGCAGGAGCCAGAGCCAGAGGCAGAGCCATATCGGCCAGAGCTGGAGGAATGCCTGGAAATGGAACTATGCCCTTGTCTGCTACCACTGCTTGATCTGCCACGTGAACCAGATACATGTCCCTTGCTGCTAGATGACTGACCTGATCCAGAGCCATATTGGCCAGAGCCAGATGAGTGCCTGGAGCCGGAGGTGGAACCATAGTGGCCAGAGCTGGAAGACTGCTGGGAACTGGAACTCTGTCCTTGTCTGCCATGACTGCCTGACCTTCCACCTGAAGTAGATTGATGTCTGTGGGTCCTAGATGACTGACCTGATCCAGACCCATATTGGCCAGTGCTAGATGACTTGCTGGAGCCAGAGTGAGAGGTAGAGCCAGAGCCTCGGTTGGAGCCAGAGCCATATTCTGAGCCAGACTCTGAGCTTGAGTTGGATCCTGAGCTTGAACCTGAACCTGAAGCTGAGCAGGAGCCAGAGCCAGAGCCATATTGGCCAGATGTGGAAGACTGTCTGGAAGTGGAACTATGCCCTTGTCTGCCACCACTGCTTGATCTGCCACGTGAACCAGATACGTGTGCCTTGCTGCTAGATGACTGACCTGATCCAGAGCCATATTGGCCAGAGCCAGATGAGTGCCTGGAGCCGGAGCTGGAGCCATAGTGGCCAGAGCTGGAAGACTGCTGGGAACTGCAACTGTGTCCTTGTCTACCATGAGTGCCTGACCTTCCACTTGAACTTGATCCATGTCCCTGGCTACTAGATGACTGACCTGAACCAGAGCCATATTGGCCAGAGCCAGATGAGTGCCTGCAGCCGGAGCTGGAGCCATAGTGGCCAGAGCTGGAAGACTGCTGGGAACTGGAACTGTGTCCTTGTCTACCATGAGTGCCTGACCTGGATCGATGTCCCTGGCTGCTAGATGACTGACCTGATTCAGAGCCATATTGGCCAGAGCTGGGAGACTGCTGGGAACTGGAACTGTGTCCTTGTCTACCTGACCTGACCTGGATCGATGCTAGATGACTGACCTATGACTGACCTGATCCAGAGCCATATTGGCCAGATGTAGATGACTTGCTGGAGCCAGAGCCAGAGCCAGAGCCAGAGCCTTTGCTGGAGCCAGGGCCATATTCTGAGCCAGACTCTGAGCTTGAGGTGAATCCTGAGCCTGAGCCTGAGCCTGAACCTGAACCTGAGCAGGAGCCAGAGCCAGAGGCAGAGCCATATCGGCCAGAGCTGGAGGAATGTCTGGAAGTGGAACTATGCCCTTGTGTTCCACTACTGCTTGATCTGCCACATGAACCAGATACATGTCCCTTGCTGCGAGATGACTGACCTGATCCAGAGCCATATTGGCCAGATGTAGATGACTTGCTGGAGCCAGAGTGAGTGCCAGAGCCAGAGCCAGAGCCAGAGCCAGAGCCAGAGCCAGAGCCTTTGCTGGAGCCAGAGCCATATTCTGAGCCAGACTCTGAGCTTGAGTTGAATCCTGAGCCTGAGCCTGAACCTGAACCTGAACCTGAACCTAAGCAGGAGCCAGAGCCAGAGGCAGAGCCATATCGGCCAGAGCTGGAGGAATGCCTGGAAATGGAACTATGCCCTTGTCTGCTACCACTGCTTGATCTGCCACGTGAACCAGATACATGTCCCTTGCTGCTAGATGACTGACCTGATCCAGAGCCATATTGGCCAGAGCCAGATGAGTGCCTGGAGCCGGAGGTGGAACCATAGTGGCCAGAGCTGGAAGACTGCTGGGAACTGGAACTGTGTCCTTGTCTGCCATGACTGCCTGACCTTCCACCTGAAGTAGATCGATGTCTGTGGGTCCTAGATGACTGACCTGATCCAGACCCATATTGGCCAGTGCTAGATGACTTGCTGGAGCCAGAGTGAGAGGTAGAGCCAGAGCCTCGGTTGGAGCCAGAGCCATATTCTGAGCCAGACTCTGAGCTTGAGTTGGATCCTGAGCTTGAACCTGAACCTGAAGCTGAGCAGGAGCCAGAGCCAGAGCCATATTGGCCAGACGTGGAAGACTGTCTGGAAGTGGAACTATGCCCTTGTCTGCCACCACTGCTTGATCTGCCACGTGAACCAGATACGTGTGCCTTGCTGCCAGATGACTGACCTGATCCAGAGCCATATTGGCCAGAGCCAGATGAGTGCCTGGAGCCGGAGCTGGAGCCATAGTGGCCAGAGCTGGGAGACTGCTGGGAACTGGAACTGTGTCCTTGTGTACCACGACTGCCTGACCTGGATCGATGTCCCTGGCTGCTAGATGACTGACCTGATCCACAGCCATATTGGCCAGAGCCAGATGAGTGCCTGCAGCCGGAGCTGGAACCATAGTGGGCAGAGCTGGAAGACTGCTGGGAACTGGAACTGTGTCCTTGTCTACCATGAGTGCCTGACCTGGATCGATGTCCCTGGCTGCTAGATGACTGACCTGATCCAGAGCCATATTGGCCAGAGCTGGGAGACTGCTGGGAACTGGAACTGTGTCCTTGTCTACCATGACTGCCTGACCTGGATTGATGTCCCCGGCTGCTAGATGACTGACCTGATCCAGAGCCATATTGGCCAGATGTAGATGACTTGCTGGAGCCAGAGCCAGAGCCAGAGCCTTTGCTGGAGCCAGGGCCATATTCTGAGCCAGACTCTGAGCTTGAGGTGAATCCTGAGCCTGAGCCTGAGCCTGAACCTGAACCTGAGGAGGAGCCAGAGCCAGAGGCAGAGCCATATCGGCCAGAGCTGGAGGAATGTCTGGAAGTGGAACTATGCCCTTGTGTTCCACTACTGCTTGATCTGCCACGTGAACCAGATACATGTCCCTTGCTGCAAGATGACTGACCTGATCTAGAGCCATATTGGCCAGAGCCAGATGAGTGCCTGGAGCCGGAGCTGGAACCATAGTGGCCAGAGCTGGGAGACTGCTGGGAACTGGAACTGTGCCCTTCTCTACCATGAGTGCCTGACCTTCCACTTGAACTTGATCCATGTCCCTGGCTGCTAGATGACTGACCTGAACCAGAGCCATATTGGCCAGAGCCAGATGAGTGCCTGGAGCCGGAGGAGGAACCATAGTGGCCAGAGCTGGAAGACTGCTGGGAACTGGAACTGTGTCCTTGTCTGCCATGACTGCCTGACCTTCCACCTGAAGTAGATCGATGTCTGTGGGTCCTAGATGACTGACCTAATCCAGACCCATATTGGCCAGTGCTAGATGACTTGCTGGAGCCAGAGTGAGAGCTAGAGCGAGAGCCTCGGTTGGAGCCAAAGCCATATTCTGAGCCAGACTCTGAGCTTGAGTTGGATCCTGAGCTTGAACCTGAACCTGAAGCTGAGCAGGAGCCAGAGCCAGAGCCATATTGGCCAGAGCTGGAAGACTGCTGGGAACTGGAACTGTGTCCTTGTCTGTCACCACTGCTTGATCTGCCACGTGAACCAGATACATGTCCCTTGCTGCTAGATGACTGACCTGATCCAGAGCCATATTGGCCAGAGCCAGATGAGTGCCTGGAGCCGGAGCTGGAGCCATAGTGGCCAGAGCTGGAAGACTGCTGGGAACTGCAACTGTGTCCTTGTCTACCATGAGTGCCTGACCTTCCACTTGAACTTGATCCATGTCCCTGGCTACTAGATGACTGACCTGAACCAGAGCCATATTGGCCAGAGCCAGATGAGTGCCTGCAGCCGGAGCTGGAGCCATAGTGGCCAGAGCTGGAAGACTGCTGGGAACTGGAACTGTGTCCTTGTCTACCATGAGTGCCTGACCTGGATCGATGTCCCTGGCTGCGAGATGACTGACCTGATCTAGAGCCATATTGGCCAGAGCTAGATGAGTGCTTGGAGCCGGAGCTGGAACCACAGTGGGCAGAGCTGGGAGACTGCTGGGAACTGGAACTGTGTCCTTGTCTACCATGAGTGCCTGACCTTCCACCTGAAGTAGATCGATGTCCCTGGCTGCTAGATGACTGACCTGATCCAGAGCCATATTGGCCAGATGTAGATGACTTGCTGGAGCCAGAGCCAGAGCCAGAGCCTTTGCTGGAGCCAGGGCCATATTCTGAGCCAGACTCTGAGCTTGAGGTGAATCCTGAGCCTGAGCCTGAGCCTGAACCTGAACCTGAGCAGGAGCCAGAGCCAGAGGCAGAGCCATATCGGCCAGAGCTGGAGGAATGTCTGGAAGTGGAACTATGCCCTTGTGTTCCACTACTGCTTGATCTGCCACGTGAACCAGATACATGTCCCTTGCTGCGAGATGACTGACCTGATCCAGAGCCATATTGGCCAGATGTAGATGACTTGCTGGAGCCAGAGTGAGTGCCAGAGCCAGAGCCAGAGCCAGAGCCAGAGCCAGAGCCAGAGCCTTTGCTGGAGCCAGAGCCATATTCTGAGCCAGACTCTGAGCTTGAGTTGAATCCTGAGCCTGAGCCTGAACCTGAACCTGAACCTGAACCTAAGCAGGAGCCAGAGCCAGAGGCAGAGCCATATCGGCCAGAGCTGGAGGAATGCCTGGAAATGGAACTATGCCCTTGTCTGCTACCACTGCTTGATCTGCCACGTGAACCAGATACATGTCCCTTGCTGCTAGATGACTGACCTGATCCAGAGCCATATTGGCCAGAGCCAGATGAGTGCCTGGAGCCGGAGGTGGAACCATAGTGGCCAGAGCTGGAAGACTGCTGGGAACTGGAACTGTGTCCTTGTCTGCCATGACTGCCTGACCTTCCACCTGAAGTAGATCGATGTCTGTGGGTCCTAGATGACTGACCTGATCCAGACCCATATTGGCCAGTGCTAGATGACTTGCTGGAGCCAGAGTGAGAGGTAGAGCCAGAGCCTCGGTTGGAGCCAGAGCCATATTCTGAGCCAGACTCTGAGCTTGAGTTGGATCCTGAGCTTGAACCTGAACCTGAAGCTGAGCAGGAGCCAGAGCCAGAGCCATATTGGCCAGACGTGGAAGACTGTCTGGAAGTGGAACTATGCCCTTGTCTGCCACCACTGCTTGATCTGCCACGTGAACCAGATACGTGTGCCTTGCTGCCAGATGACTGACCTGATCCAGAGCCATATTGGCCAGAGCCAGATGAGTGCCTGGAGCCGGAGCTGGAGCCATAGTGGCCAGAGCTGGGAGACTGCTGGGAACTGGAACTGTGTCCTTGTGTACCACGACTGCCTGACCTGGATCGATGTCCCTGGCTGCTAGATGACTGACCTGATCCAGAGCCATATTGGCCAGAGCCAGATGAGTGCCTGGAGCCGGAGCTGGAACCATAGTGGGCAGAGCTGGAAGACTGCTGGGAACTGGAACTGTGTCCTTGTCTACCATGAGTGCCTGACCTGGATCGATGTCCCTGGCTGCTAGATGACTGACCTGATCCAGAGCCATATTGGCCAGAGCTGGGAGACTGCTGGGAACTGGAACTGTGTCCTTGTCTACCATGACTGCCTGACCTGGATCGATGTCCCCGGCTGCTAGATGACTGACCTGATCCAGAGCCATATTGGCCAGATGTAGATGACTTGCTGGAGCCAGAGCCAGAGCCAGAGCCTTTGCTGGAGCCAGGGCCATATTCTGAGCCAGACTCTGAGCTTGAGGTGAATCCTGAGCCTGAGCCTGAGCCTGAACCTGAACCTGAGGAGCAGCCAGAGCCAGAGGCAGAGCCATATCGGCCAGAGCTGGAGGAATGTCTGGAAGTGGAACTATGCCCTTGTGTTCCACTACTGCTTGATCTGCCACGTGAACCAGATACATGTCCCTTGCTGCAAGATGACTGACCTGATCTAGAGCCATATTGGCCAGAGCCAGATGAGTGCCTGGAGCCGGAGCTGGAACCATAGTGGCCAGAGGGGGAAGACTGCTGGGAACTGGAACCGTGTCCTTGTCTACCATGAGTGCCTGACCTTCCACTTGAACTTGATCCATGTCCCTGGCTGCTAGATGACTGACCTGAACCAGAGCCATATTGGCCAGAGCCAGATGAGTGCCTGGAGCCGGAGGTGGAACCATAGTGGCCAGAGCTGGAAGACTGCTGGGAACTGGAACTGTGTCCTTGTCTGCCATGACTGCCTGACCTTCCACCTGAAGTAGATCGATGTCTGTGGGTCCTAGATGACTGACCTAATCCAGACCCATATTGGCCAGTGCTAGATGACTTGCTGGAGCCAGAGTGAGAGCTAGAGCGAGAGCCTCGGTTGGAGCCAAAGCCATATTCTGAGCCAGACTCTGAGCTTGAGTTGGATCCTGAGCTTGAACCTGAACCTGAAGCTGAGCAGGAGCCAGAGCCAGAGCCATATTGGCCAGACGTGGAAGACTGTCTGGAAGTGGAACTATGCCCTTGTCTGCCACCACTGCTTGATCTGCCACGTGAACCAGATACGTGTGCCTTGCTGCCAGATGACTGACCTGATCCAGAGCCATATTGGCCAGAGCCAGATGAGTGCCTGGAGCCGGAGCTGGAACCATAGTGGCCAGAGCTGGGAGACTGCTGGGAACTGGAACTGTGTCCTTGTCTGCCATGACTGCCTGACCTTCCACCTGAAGTAGATCGATGTCTGTGGGTCCTAGATGACTGACCTGATCTAGACCCATATTGGCCAGATGTAGATGACTTGCTGGAGCCAGAGTGAGAGCTAGAGCCAGAGCCTCGGTTGGAGCCAGAGCCATATTCTGAGCCAGACTCTGAGCTTGAGGTGAATCCTGAGCCTGAGCCTAAGCCTGAACCTGAACCTGAGCAGGAGCCAGAGCCAGAGCCAGAGCCATATTGGCCAGAGCTGAAGGAATGTCTGGAAGTGGAACTATGCCCTTGTCTTCCACTACTGCTTGATCTGCCACATGAACCAGATACGTGTCCCTTGCTGTGAGATGACTGACCTGATCTAGAGCCATATTGGCCAGAGCCAGATGAGTGCCTGGAGCCAGAAGTGGAGCCATAGTGGCCAGAGCTGGAAGACTGCTGGGAACTGGAACTGTGTCCTTGTCTACCATGACTGCCTGACCTGGATCGATTTCCCTGGCTGCTAGATGACTGACCTGATCCAGAGCCATATTGGCCAGATGTAGATGACTTGCTGGAGCCAGAGTGAGTGCCAGAGCCAGAGCCAGAGCCAGAGCCTTTGCTGGAGCCAGGGCCATATTCTGAGTCAGACTCTGAGCTTGAGGTGAATCCTGAGCCTGAGCCTGAGCCTGAACCTGAACCTGAGCAGGAGCCAGAGCCAGAGGCAGAACCATATTGGCCAGAGGTGGAGGAATGTCTGGAAGTGGAACTATGCCCTTGTCTGCCACCACTGCTTGATCGGCTACGTGAACCAGGTACATGTCCCTTGCTGCTAGATGACTGACCTGATCCAGAGCCACATTGGCCAGAGCCAGATGAGTGCCTGGAGCCGGAGGTGGAGCCATAGTGGCCAGAGGGGGAAGACTGCTGGGAACTGGAACTGTGTCCTTGTCTACCATGACTGCCTGAACTTTCGCCTGAAGTGGATCGATGTATGTGGGTCCTAGATGACTGACCTGATCCAGACCCATATTGGCCAGTGCTAGATGACTTGCTGGAGCCAGAGTGAGAGCTAGAGCCAGAGCCTCGTTTGGAGCCAGAGCCATATTCTGAGCCAGACTCTGAGCTTGAGTTGGATCCTGAGCTTGAACCTGAACCAGAAGCTGAGCAGGAGCCAGAGCCAGAGCCATATTGGCCAGACGTGGAAGACTGTCTGGAAGTGGAACTATGCCCTTGTCTGCCACCACTGCTTGATCTGCCATGTGAACCAGATCTGTGTTCCTTGCTGGTAGACGACTGAGGTGATCCAGAGCCATAGTGGCCAGAAGCGGAGCTGGAGCCATAGTGGCCAGAACTGGAAGACTGCTGGGAACTGGACCTGTGTCCTTGTCTACCATGACTGCCTGGCCTTCTACCTGAACTAGATCCATATCTCTGGCTGCTAGATGACTGACCTGATGCAGACCCACATTGGCCAGAGCCTGATGATCGTCTGCAGGTTGAGGCAGACCCTGAAGTTGTGCCTGAGTCATAGTCAGAGCTAGAATCAGAAATACTGGAATTTGAGAATTTGCTTGAATTGGTACCTTGTGTCTGAATTGTAGAGGTGTCTGATTTTTCATCTTTGTTTGACCTATGTCTTCTCTTAGTTGAATATTTACTTGAGTCTGAACTACATGTTTTAGATCCAGAGAATTCATGTGATTTAGATTTCTCTGCATTAGATCCCAATGTTGGACCTGATTCAGTTTCTGTGGCGGATTCTGAGTCTGTGTCAGAGTTAGAAGTGTACGTTCCAGAGCTTGATGACTGCAGCCAGTTGTCCCTTTCTCCTTGTTCCTCAAAGGTGACTGATTGCACCCTTTTTTTAAATTTAGTTTCTGTTTTGTCAAATACGTTTGTACTCTTCTTGTGTCTGTATACATTTTCACTCCAAAGTCTTGAGTTTTCAAAGTCAGTTTTGTATTCTTCTCCTCCATATTTCCTGGAAGGGCTTTTCCTTGAATTCTGTCTACCCTCTTCCCATTCCTTTGAGCTGGATGCAGTTTTAACTTCATTTCTATTTCCTGAGTTGCTTGAAGTTGACCTATGGTATATCTTCTTTGAGTCCTTTCTCTTCTCTGAGTTCAGTAAAGAATCTTGCCTCTCCCTCCCTATCCATGTTGGCCAATGCCTGACTTTCTGTGTTTCCTGTAATTGCTGTTTTTTTGATGTCCCACATTCCTCTTCGGTGTTCCAGCTTGAATTACTGGAATCTGAATCCCACCCTTTTTGTTCTTCTTCCTCATGATGCTTTTGACCTTGGAAATACCTTTTCTTGAAAGCTTTGTTGGAGGCCATTGTCAATTTGAATATCAGCAATAGGAATTCAGTAAAGTCTACTCTCCTGTTTTCATCTTCATCCATATCACGCATCACTTCATCCACAGTATCTTGATTTTTTGCATTCTGTATATGAGTAAAGTCCAGAAAAAATCCCCAATTAGTCAAAAAATACATCCTCAGTAATTCAAAGAGTATTGTCTAATAATGCATATTGGTCGACCTAGAGGAACTCTAATCAATCCCTGTTATCCTAGCTTTACTCTTTTTCTCCCCTCTCACCTCTATTCGACTGAGTGGCTTCAGAGAATACTTAACATAAGGTAGATGGGAATAACGTGTTGGACATGAGGTTGAATGAACACGTAACAGCTGGTACATTTGGACCTATGATGAATATATCAGAAACAACATGCTAAATTTATAAAACAAGGTTTTGGCACTCACCAATCAGCAAATGTGATTTCTCTTCATCTTTGGTTTCCTGGCCCTTTGAAAAATTCTCATCATGAGCTGATTATATGCTCTCTTTTACATAGTGATTTGGAGGTCATCTCATTTCTCCTTTTTATTTGGTGATCACAATATCTAAAATCCTGACATTATGGTTTTTCTGGCTTTCTCTAGAAAAGTCTTTATTTCCTTGGACCAGTAGTTGATTTGGCCAACATCCCATGAAGGTGAGTTAATTTTGAGTTTATTTTCCTCAGCTGAGAAATAACTAAGACAAACACAACACTAGTTCATGGAAAGTTGGAAAAGGGATGGGATTGCTGAAGGCAGGTATATAAAAATTAGGTGGATACCACCGGAGTAAACTTTGCTTACATTCCGATTTTGTCAAGGACAAAATCCATTTCCTTGTATGTTCATAGATTTAAATAATTCAGGTAAATTTCATTCAACTCGGTTTCATCCAAATCCACCCAACAAGCATTTATGGAATATCTATCATGTACATACTTCGTGTTGTGGGTCAACTTGCTTGAGCTTAAAGTTGGAGGATTTTATGTTCATATTCCTGTATTTGACATTCACTAGCTTTATGATCATGGACAAGTCATTTAATCATCTTCACCCTCAGCTTCTCTGTAATCTATATCCATATTGATTCAATCTATAAAGTGAGGCTAATATCTGTGGAACCTCCTTTACTTGGTTTTTGCCTGGAGCTAATGAGATAATACCCATAAAATTCTCTGCACTCTTGGGACTGCCACTGAGCCACTGAATGTGTGCTTTCAATGAATAGGTGACTTCCAGGTGAAGAACTCTTACTCCTAGCAATGCAAGGTCAAAACTTTTTAGTAATACATGGTCTTAGAGACTTGCCTTTAGTACTTAGAAATTAAGTGACTTGCCCAGAATCATACAACTGGGATGTTATGTGTTAGTGGTGGGAGTTGAATACAGATCTTTTGGAGTTCAAGGCTGGCTCATTACCCACTACCTCAGTAAAGATCAGACACTGTGATTGTTGTGCTAGGTTCTGGAATGTTTTATTTGGGCTCAGAGATAGAATATTGATTATGTGAATCTTTTGCTTCCTCCTTATTAGACACAGATGTGAGCTAGAATTTCACATAGTTCTTTAGGGACTGCAAAGCATTTTATACATACTTTCTGATGTTGAACCTCATGATAACCCTTCATTTTACAGATGAAGAAACTGAGGCTGAGACATGTTAAGTGCTGTGCTCAAGGTTATACTAATAATTGTCTGAAGCAGGATTTGACATCAGCTTTTCCCTTGTTCGGTACTCTTAGGCATGGCTGAATATGACCAATACCAAATTTTAAAAATGCCTGCCTGTTGTCACAGCCTGTTGCATGTAACAGAAAGCTCTCACCTCCAGAATAAACTGCAGCTCATTTTCCAGAAGTTCCTTCAGTTCTCTTTGGCTCATTGTATCACACTCCTCGTCTTGGCCACAATATTGGTAGAAGACATCCAGGATGGTGGCGATGCTTGTCAGGAGATGAGACATCTTGGTGCACAATTTAATTGATCTAGAGGGGGAGAAACATGACCCTTCTCTCTTATTTCTTTACTTCCTTTAAGAAGCCTCAGTAGTAATTATCTGGAATAACATTCTCGCGTTTATTTCCCATCTCATCTGTTTCACCTTTGAAACAGTGTCATGGAGAAAGATGGGGTAGGGACAATTCATCCTCATCAATGCAATGAGGCACTCAGTCCTAGAGATCTTAAGCTGCAGGACCCACAGGAAGCCAGGAAAGGCAGTCCTGGAAGCAAAGACTGCTTTTACCCTAAGGATAGCCTTAAATGGAGGGGAGAGCAAAGGTCCCAGGTGTTTATGGTACCTCAGCACATTCTAGGCATCACAACAGTCAGAGCTGTGCTGGAAAGGACCTTAGAAATTACCTTGTTCCTCACCCTCGCTTTACAGATAAGGAGAGTGAGGCTCAGATATTTTACTGACATGCCTAAGTGAAGGGGTCAGATGAAAGGGAAGGGAAACGGAATAAACATTTATGAAGTAGCTACTATGCGCCAGTCACTGTGCTAAGGCCTCTGCAAATATCTCATTTGGTCTTCATACCAAACCCAAGAGGTAGGTGTTATTATGATATCCGTTTTACAGATGAAACTGAGGCTGATAATGCTTCAGTGACTTGTTCAGGGTTACACAGCCAGTGAATGTCTGAGGTCAAATTTGAATTCAGGTCTTTCTGACTCTAGCCCTAGTGCCTTGTGTACTATAGTGCCACCTATATGCCTGAGATCACACAGCTACTAAGGGGCAAAACTAAGATCTGAACCCTGTTCTTCTGGCTCCAGTTCAGGATTCCTGTTCACCCCAATCATCCCAATTCCCAGATTTACCCCTGGAAAACACAAGATGCCTGTGGTCCTAGGAAGCCTGAGTCCACACTTACCTAGTTCGCCAAAGGAACAAGCAGGAAGGAGGTGGAAGCAACTCGCAGGGTACCAACTGTCTGGGCTGCTGGGCTTTTTATACTGGACTTAATTGTCCATCACAGGATGGTGACACCCTTTCTGTGGGATGGCCTGATTCATTCTCAGCCAAACCCAGTGCCACCTCTCCCTCCACCCCTGTCATCAGGGATATTAGCCAGGCTAACTGCTTCTCACCTACTCATCTGTGATTACATTAGGAGCTCCCCAATTTGGCCCAGTATCAGCCCCTACCTGTCAGTGTGTTAGGATATTTTACATAAGGACCACTGTGGGCATCCGAAGTGTTCTGAAGGTAGGGGCTATAGGATTGTAGGGTTGCAGGATTTAGACCTGGAAAAGGGTCATGGCGACTTCAGAGTCCAAACTCCCAGTTTTCCAATAAAGACCTGAATACGTGAAAAACATTCATCAGCTCTTACCAAGTGCCAAGCACTGTGCTTGTTACACAGATAGAGCAGGAAAACAGCACCTGCCCTAAGTCAACTTCTATTCAACAAGAGGGAAGTCTATGTAAAAGGGGTTGTGGCCAGGGAAGGGTGTTAGGATCTGGGGAGACAAAGGGGTGCCAAGTAGAGCCATACAAGAATTTGTTGACATGCTTTTACCAGAAATAATGGTAGTATCGAATTGATTATGGTTACCAGATCAAGCTACAGAAGACTGGGTGCAGAGGGTTTGGTTTGTAGAGAGGAAGAGAAAAGCATACGATAAAGGACAGATATAAATAAGAATCTCGGGGTGGGTGTTTGGATGAGATATGAAGCATGGTTTGGTCTGGGGTGTGACATGCTAGATATAATGGGCTAAGCAAATTTGTGTTCATTTTTCAATCAGGTCATCTTCACCTCATGGCAGGGATTCCAAAGCTGTGTAGATTAAGTCACCTTTTTAATAGTCTGTGGACTTAGGGTGGTTCAAAAAGTTTAACGTAAGAGTGGATGACAAGAAAATGACCAATGTGGATGGAGCCTCTTTCTTATCAAAGGCACCATAATCTTTCCAGTTACCCAGGTTCACAACCCGAGTCATACATGAGGCCATGTTTACCTTCTTCTTGTACCCCAGCCCCACCGCCTTCATCTCATTACATATTGTCTGAGCAAATATTTGTTGAATTTAGTTGTAAGAGAATAGTATTGATGGATAAGACTCATTGGGCCCTGCTAATTAGCTTTGCTTGGCTCCATTTAGCTACCTTATATGGCAATAGCTTTAGCAATGAAGGTGAGTACATGACAGACAACACCTTTTATAATCTGGCATAGGGGAGATACTCATGCGCAATATCTTATTCTTAGAACCCTTTGTGGTGACTTTCAGGGAGTGAGCCTTCCTTCGTAGCCTTCTCTCACTAGATTATTCATAACATGAGGTGACCATCAGCTCTATCGCTGCTTTGAGCCTAGACACTTAGGAAATACCTCTTGTTGGATATGTGGGGTTTGTACAAGGTGATACAATGAACGAGTGAATGAAACTATAGAATTCTAAGCTATGGACATGAAGAGCTAGCAAAAAGTAGTGCTATAACCCATTAGAAGGTCATCTAAAAGATCTAGAAATGGTGTAGGGCATGCCCACTGAAACGGGTGGCCTTCATTCCTTTTTCATTACAAAGTGGTAAGAATTGAAGGCTCAAGGGAAGATTCCTCTGCTAAAGTCTGACTTCCAACTTTTATGCAGCATTCTCAAAGTCTATGCCAATGATTCATAAGATCTGGTAGTTTCTATGAATCAAAGAAGTAATGACATTTTTGCTGTACAATGAATGATACATTGTTTTTTCATTGAAGACCATTCTTGCTATGTGCATTACTGGGTTGGTTGCAAAAGGGTCTATGTTTCAGTGGCCACAACTCACACAAATTTCCTGTAAAGACATAAAGGACTTCTTCCTTACACTGGTGCAGGGCAGACCCTCTATGTTGAAATCACAGACCCCTGAAATTTTAAAGTCAAAGAGATCTTGGAAGCAAGATACTCCGTGTCCATTTTGTGTCATATGGCTTCATTCTCAAGAAGCACCCTAATGCTGATCTTGTTTTAAATATATTGAATGTGGGATTAGAGAACATGGTGGAGGTGGGGAGTGGAGTAGACTTGGTAAGAGGCAGGCAGGTACATCATTTGGGTTCTAGCACTAGACCAGTGGATTGAAGTGTTTAAGGTGATAATAACAATGAAGCAGCTAGGTGGCCTTGGCCCTGGAGTCTGGAAGACCTGAGTTCAAATCTGACCTGAGGTTCTTACTAGCTGTATGATCCTAGGCAAGTAATTTAACTTCTGTCTTATCTAACAGAGCTGTTGTGAGGACAAAATGAAATAATATTTACAAAGTGTTTTGCATACCTGAAAGCATTATATAAATGCTAGCTGTAACTACGAATAAAGGCAGTAATAAGAGTAGTAGCTGATACGCAACTATATATTTGTACATATATATATATGTACATGTGTGTATATATAATATACACACATAGATATATGACCAAGAGCCTGTACATGTGGGCATATATATGCACCTTGATTATATATGAATGTATATGTATATATTACTATTCGTAATAATAATGTATACATATAAACAAGAGTATAACACATATGTGCACATACACATCTAATTTATACATCCACATACATATCTCACAATGTATACGTGCTGTGCACATACATATAAATATATATATATAGTATACATATATATGTATACTATATATATATATACACACACGTGTATGGGTACAGAAATCATGTATACACACAATATATACATATATGTGTACATAGAAGATATGTATATATTACCCACATATGTATATGTATGTACGTGTATATTATATGTGCGTATGTATATACATATACACACACATACACTCTTACATTACCATCATTCATAATAATAGCTAGAATAATATAAATGTGGATATGTCTATATCTTTAAGGTTTACAGAGTACTACATGAATTGGATTTAAGTGAGGCAGAGTTAGACAAAATTGTCAGCCTCACTCTCTTTTTCTGAGTTATTGAGGTCCAGTGGCCAGACAAAGGTCAAGATGATTGGAGATGGCCCAGGATGACCTTGACATCTTTGATGTTTGACCAAGCCCTAAGCGCTCCACATAGCCTGCTTCAGCCTCCTTCACGGACATTGGAACAAATTGTTGTCATCCACCTATTCCACTGGAGGAAATCTTCACATGTTTGGGGTAGCCATCCCCTTAACTCACCAATGGGTTTGAGGCCTATTGGTTACCCTCAATCTGCTTAAACAGTTTTCTGGGGTGTGGCCTCTTTGCATGCTCCAGCTTCTGGGAGCCGCAGGTAAGAGCTGGGTCACAGGTGGACACCAAAGGTGGATGAGCAGCCCTGAAAAAGGCTCAGCAAGTCCTCACACCAGAGGTTCTAGTTCTCCTGTAGTCCCCCATAGTCTTAGGTGATGCAGTGGATAGAGTGCCGGGCCTGAAGTCAGGAAGACTCATCTTTCTGAATTCAAATCTGGCCTCAGCCACTTACTAGCTGTGTGATCATGGACAAATCACTTACACCTATTTGCTTCAGTTTCCTCATCTGTGAAATGAACTGGGGAAGGAAGTGGCCAACTCCTCCAATATCTTTGCTAAGAAAACCCCCAACAACAGCAATAAAGCATTAACACAGCACTTTAAAAAATCAGCCCTGTTTGTTAGGTACCATACGTATTGCAATCATTGCTGTTTCACAGATGAGGAAATTCAGGCACAGAGAAGTCAGTGACTTGACTATCATTTTACAGCTAGTAAATAACCAATGTAGGATTTGAACCCAGGTGTCTCCTGGCGCAATGCTCTTTGCACCATACAGCAGCTGTCTGAGTGGTAGTTTTGCCCCTACCAACAACTGACTGACCTTGATCAACTTTCTTTAACCTTTGGTGCTTTGGTTTTCCTTCCACAACTACAAGGTGTTATTAGTGTGAAGGTGCATGTAGGCAGTTAGACAAACACCCTGTGCCATCATCAACCATTGTGTAGCATGGTCGTGGTCCACCCAATGTTTGCCAACAG